ATCTATTTTGTCTATCATCTATCTATCTATCTATCTATCTATCTATCTATCTATCTATCTATCTATCTATCTATCTATCTATCTATCTCTCCTATCTCTCCTATCTCTATCATCTTTTCTGTCTGTCTGTCTGTCTATCATCTATCATCTATCTATCTATCTATCTATCTATCTATCTATCTATCTATCTATCCATCCATCTCTATCTCCTATCTCTATCCTCCCTATCTCTTCTATCATCTAATCTGTCTGTCTGTCTGTTTGTCTATCATCTATCTATCTATCTATCTATCTATCTATCTATCTATCTATCTATCTATCTATCTATCTATCTATCTATCTAATCTCTACATACACACACACTCACCAAAATAATATATATGAAATAATAATGTTTTTAAATAAATGAATGAATGATAAATAAGCTAACCTGGAATACAACTCTTGATTTCTCAAGCAGGTACGTCCTCATGTTGGCACCAATGATACGGTATCTTTTATCAAAGCCAATCTGAATGTATTTCCCAAAACGGCTGCTGTTGTCATTCCGAGTTGTTTTTGCGTTGCCAATTGCCTTTATGGAATTAATGAAACGTTAAAATTACAATGCCTTTTTTTCAACAATATTCATTCATCTCACAGGTACACTTCATTAATTAATTGCATATAACTAAAAAAAAAACCCATTAAGGGAAAGACTGTGAGAATGAAAGATGGAGAGGGCAACATTGCTTGAAGATTTCGTGCTACACTCTTTAACAAGATCATAAAATAGCTATTAGCCTTATCCCTTCCACCTGTGAACCCCCCCCCACCAGCAATGATTGCTTTTACAAGCTTGTTTTAAGAGGGTAAACAATGAAGACGGCAGCAAAGTAATTATGATTAGATTTTGTTATCATATTTAATTAACACTCTAGATCCGTGATGGCAAACCTATGCCATGTGTACCCAAAGTGGCACATAGAGCCTGGCATCACCTGTTCCCAAACTTGGTATTTTAAGATAGGCAGAATTCAACTTCCCCAGACACCTTTGGCTTCACAATTGAATGTTAAGAGACTATCAAGAAACTGAATGTGCCTTTATTCGAACTAACTATACTCCTCAAAGCTTCCCAAAAACGTCATGGATTAATTTCCCAATCTAGTGTTCTCCAGAAGCTCAAATTGGTTAGAAAATACAGAATGGCAGACTGTATACAGGTGGTCCTCAACTTACGACCACAATGAAGGCCAAATTTTCTTAAGTGAGACATTGGTTGTGTCAATTTTGCCCCATTTTTCAACTCTTCTTGTCTCAGTGGTTAAGTGAATCACTGCAGTTGCCAAGTTAGTAACCTGGTTGTGAAATGAATCTGGTTTCCCCACTGATTTTGCTTGTCGGGAAATCACAAAAGGGGGTGACAGACCCCGGGACACAGCAACGGTCGTAAGTGTGAACCAGTTGCCAAGCATTTGAATTTTGACCATGGGGATGCTGGAAATGTCGTAGCTATGAAAAACGGTCATAAGTCACTTTTTCAGTGCCTTTTATAACTTTGAACGGCCACCAAGAGAGTTGTTGTAAGTCGAGGATTACCTGTATTTGCAAATAAAAATATATGCAAAGAATGTCATATTAAAGAGTTTTCGGCCACCCAGATGAGATCATGCTTTTCTGCATGCAATGTTAATTATATGAAGATAACAACAGACCTACGCACATAATTTTAAGCAACCTCCAATTTCATAACAAGTACACTCGTTATAGCTAACATGATAAAGCGTGTATTTACGTGAATTTCTTTGGGAAAGACTTATGCTACAATTGATTGCAGATTTCAAGCAAGACATAGAAGTTAATTTCACTCATTCTTTATAGATAGAGTGTGACTTGTTTGATTTTGGCTTAGACTTAGTGTCAGGGTTCCAAGTAATAGACCCACAGAAAGCAAAACTCTGAGACAGGTAAATTCCTCAAAGAATAGCTTTATTGAATATATCATATTGGCACAGATGTGGTGAAATCTGATTCTGAAGACTCCTGCGGTTATCACCCAATTAAAAGTAAAAGTTTGTCACTTTCTCAAAACAATCAGTCACATGGTCCAATCACAGCGCAGTCTGGTTGCCGGATGATACTGTTCCACCTTCCTCCGACCAGATGTAAGAATGTCCTTGGTTCCCAAGAGAAAGGATTTTGTTTTGGCTACCAAATCCCAGTTCTCTCAACTCCCCACTCCCTATCCCTCAGCTCCAGAGTGGCAACACTGAAGCTGTCAAAAATGGCTTGGTCAGGTCAGCTTCATGGTTGACACTGTGGTATGAATTCAGCCCCTCTTTTTTTTTTTTTTTTTTTTCCAGAACTTTTTTATTTTTCTTTAAAAAAAACAAACACAAATATGTCAT